TGCCTGGGCGCCGGGCCAGCTCGGCGGCCGCCGTCCTGCTCGTCCCGCAGATGCTTTCGATGATGACCTGATGCACAGCACCCTGAAGAGCATCGTGGAGGGTAGGGCCGTGGAGGCCCCAACCTACGACTTCGTGACGCACTCGAGGTGAGCCGGGTCCCCCGCAGGCCGCCGGGCGCCTCCAGGACCCCATCAGCCCCAGACTCCGGCTCCCCGCAGGCTGCCCGAGACCACGGTGGTGTACCCGGCGGACGTGGTGCTGTTCGAGGGCATCCTGGTGTTCTACAGCCAGGCCATCCGGGACATGTTCCACCTGCGCCTCTTCGTGGACACCGACTCGGACGTCAGGCTGTCTCGGAGGGGTAAGGGGCGGCGGGGCCTGGGGCCTGGCCAGCAGCCTGCAGGAGCTGAGCGCGTCTGGCCCTCCCTCGTCCTGTCCCTGCAGTGCTCCGGGACGTGCACCGAGGACGGGACCTGGAGCAGATCCTGACGCAGTACACCACCTTCGTGAAGCCCGCCTTCGAGGAGTTCTGCTTGCCGGTGCGACCCGCGGCGAATGCGAGCCCTCCCTCCCTGTCCCGGCACAGTGCCCGGTCCTGTGCCAGCCGAGTCCTGTGTGAATGGCCCTCGTCCCCGCATCTGGGCACGCGGAGTAGTAGTTCTCCGCTGCCCCCGTGGCGACAGCAGCTCGCCTCCCTGCTGTCCTGGGCCTCACCTCCACATCACCTGCACGTTGATTACTCCCGCACGGAGGGGACTTTTGTCTGCTCACTGCCCAGCGGGCACTGGGCTGTTTGTCAGGGCCCCTGTCCCTGGGCTGCTGTGGGCTCAGCAGGCGTCCCTGACGGCTTGTAGATAAAGGAATTCACCGACTCTTCTTTCCAACTTAGAGCTGGGGCTTGTGACACTGCTCAAATTGGAGTGTTTTATTTATTTTGAGGGTCTTTTTGAGACAGGATCTCACTATGAAGTTCAAGCTCGTCTTGAACTCACAGTGATGCTTCTCAGCCTCCTGAGTGGGAGGATTACAGGTGTGGCCACCACGCCCAGACAGTGTATTAAAGAGAAATTTAACAGTGTCGTGCCTCTTAGGGATTCCTGCTTAAGAAAAGTAGGAAAAAAGAGCTCTGTCTACAGCTGCTATTTAAAGAAAACTCTTTTTGACATTCAAGTTTCCTGGAAATTAATATGAAAAGTAAACTGGCTGTCACAGTATTTAAAGATGGAAGGGTTTGCAGAAGATGCCGGGTGCTGGCTCTGGCCCGGTGACCCCAAGTTGAGGGAGTCCTGTACTGTCCCAGCTTCCCTCGGCCCTGGGGTGGCCGCTGACGAAGTCTTGCTCACCTGGCCGCAAAGTAGCCCCCGCCAAGGCTTCTCTGCCATGGGCACCCTGCTCTTCTGCTCCCCCTGGACTTCTGAGCCCCAGCCCCTGCTGCCCAGTGTCAGCACCCGTACACCATGGTACCATCCTGCAGATGTCCTGCAGATAGCTGTCCCTAGGGGCACCAGGCTCCCTTGGTCCAGATTCACTCACCTGGGCACCAGACACTGGGGCAAGAGGATGCCTGGTGCCCGTTTGGTGGCCCTGATGCTGAGTATCTGCCAGGGAGCGAGTGACAGGGCAGTAGAAAGGGCAGACAGTGGGCAGGTGCGACATGGGGCCCTCCCTGCACGCACCGGGACTGTGGCGCGTCCCTCGTGCCTGTGTCTCCATGGTCTTGGGAAGGTTGCCCGAGGCACAGGGAGTGGCCCTGGCCCAGCATGAACTGTCCCCATGGGCTTCCTGGGAAGGGACAGGAGCACAGCCCGGACGCTCAGGGCAGCCTCCTTAGCCCAATCAGCTTCACCTGCTGCTCCCTGCGTGGGTCCCTGTCCCTCACCTGCAGGTGACACCAGTGTGTCCTTGCCCTGCTGTTGCCCCTGGCCCTGAGCACCCTACCATCGTCTGAGAGGACGGAGGCTCACAAGAACCCCCTTTATGTCTTACAGACAAAGAAGTACGCGGATGTGATCATCCCTCGCGGGGTTGACAACATGGGTAAGGACTGCGCGCTCCTGCCCCCTCCCCAGCCACAGAGCAAGGGCCACTACATCTGTCTCCGGGACAGAGCGGTGTTTATCCGTGGTACAGGTTTAATGTATGCATTAGATGTATTGAGAGCTGGGCATGTTGCTATGCACCTGGAAACCCAGCTACTCCAGAGGCCGAGGCAGGAGGATTGGGAGTGCCAGGCCAGCCTGGGTCACTTACACCGTGACCCAGAATAAAAATTTAAAGGTGGCTGGAGGTGTAGCTCAGCGCTAGAGTATTTGCTTAGCCTATGCGGGGCCCTGGGTTCAAAACCCTGCACGGCAGGAAAAAACAGGCAGACCAAGTGTAGAGTTGCTGGGCGGGACTGGTCACGCTCAGAGGACCAGGCTGGGTGTGTGCACCCGGGTGGACAGGTCCTGGGGCCCTACGGGCACCTGAGCGCCGCCTGCCGGTCCTGCAGTGGCCATCAACCTGATCGTGCAGCACATCCAGGACATCCTCAACGGTGACCTCTGCAAGCGGCACCGGGGCGGCGCCAACGGGCGCAACCACAAGAGGACCTTTCCCGAGCCAGGGGACCACCCCGGGGTGCTGGCCCCCGGCAAGCGGTCACACCTGGAGTCCAGCAGCAGACCACACTGAGCACCTCAGCAGGCAGCCCCGGGGACTGGGCCTGGGACACCAAGGGCCTTGTGGGGAGGGGCGTGGTCTGGGTCACAGTCTGAGGGCCGAGGTCACCAGCTTCCTGCTTCCTGAGGAGGGCGGTGGGTGGCTCTGCGGTCCTGGAAGCGCCCTGGAGGCCTGTGGAGTCTCACACTTCTGGCCAAGCGGAAGTGGCCTGGCCCCTGGCTGGCTTGGTGGTCTCTGCGGCAAACCCACAGCGAGATGAGTTTCCCGGCGCGGTCTGTGTGCGTGCATCACAGAAGACCCTGCTCGGACGGTGCGCGTCCTGGTGTTCTCTCTGCCCACGGCACCTGCAAGGCTTGTTTCTTGACGCACTGGGCAGACAGGCAGGGACGAGCCGCGGAGGCGGGCCCCAGCCCAGGGTGCCACTGTGGACAGGCTGTGCTGGTCCTGCCCGTCACTCCTCCCACGTGACCGCCCTTTTGGAAGTGTCCTTTGCCGACACTGCGGCTTCTCGCCATGGTTACCTGGCCGGGCTGCAGCTGCGTTGTGTAGGGCCGGCTCAGTCTGAGGGGCTGATGAGTCTGCCCCTCTGGAGGGAGAATCAATAAACAACGCCGGATACGAGAGCCAGTGTGGCCCCTTTATTTACATTTTAAAAAGGCATATTCGGGGCAACACGATGTACAGATGACACAAACCCTGTGTAAGATGCCGCTGTGTGTCTCGGTGAAACCTCACGGAGGGATTTCAAAGGCTACAGCAACAGGGAGGAGCTGCAGCCCAATGTGGCCGCCCGGCTGCAGGCTGGGCCTGGTAGGTGCCCCGCATGAGGGGACCGCAGGGCTTTTGCATCCCTGGCCTCTGCCTCAGCGACCCCTGCAGGGTGAGGGCCCAGGGCGAGTCCTCACGGTCTGGAAAGATGAGGGTCTCCCCGAGACCGTGGAGAACAAAGCCCAGCTCCCCCCGGGGCTCCTGCCTGGCTGTCAGTGAGCCCGAGCTGGGGGCGGGGGGCCTGGCCCGACCCTGCGCGCGGTGTCCTAGGAATTTCGGATGGGGATGTCCCAGCTGTCTCTCCAGCGAAGGGCCAGGAGCTCCCCTGGGGACAGCGATCTGTCCCCATAGGTCAGCGGACGTAGCATGTTGGACACGTGGCAGGCGGCCGAGTACCAGGCTATGACCAGGGCGCTGAAGAGGTGGCGCTGCAGCCGGGACCTGAGAGAGGCAGCGGCGTGGCGATGTGTGGGCTCCAGCCTGCCGGCCTCCCAGACCCTACTCGCTGCACCCCAGCTGCCCAGCCCCTCTGCAGCGCGGATCCTACCTCACCACAGCATGCACTCTGCTGGCCCCGAGCTTTCCCCACTGGTCCCCCACGGCCCCCAGGCCTGGAACATTGACCACTGCCGTCCGCACCTGCACAGGTGGTCGTAGACGTGCTGCAGGAGGAGGGGGAGCAGGAGGAGCTGGAAGGTGAGCGCCGGCAGGTAGTGGTAGAGGAAGAGCGTCTTCTCCATCAGGAAGAAGGGCAAGTAGTTCAGGGCCCAGCCGCCTGTGCACAGGGTCCCAGCCAGCGCCCAGCGCAGCCACACATCTGCGGGGATGCGCAGCTCAGGGCAGGGACAGGAAGCCCTGCCACTGCCTCCGCTAGAGCCGGCCAGGTCCTCCCTGAGAGGAGGGGAGGGGAGGGGAGAGGAAGGGACAGGAGGGACCTGTGCCCCGAGGAGGGCCCAGGGCCAGCCCGGGCCCGGATGCCACTCTCCTGCAGTCCTGTCTGCTTCTCCGGCTCCAGTGGGCTTCAAGTGGGAGGCAGGAGCCCTCCCTCGCCCGCCTGCCACCTGGGCAGCTGGGCCCCTGTTCCCGGGGAGCCGGCGGGCACTGACCCTCAGGGAGGTCACGGATGTCCCTCCGCCGCCTGAGCAGGTACCACAGGAAGAGCAGCACGCAGGCGTGTGGGCAGGTGGGAGGTCACGGATGTCCCTCCGCCGCCTGAGCAGGTACCACAGGAAGAGCAGCACGCAGGCGGCTGTGGCCAGGCTGGCCGAGGCCCAGATCACGATGTTCCCGAGCAGGTGGATCTGAGCCTGGGAGTGCGGGGACGGGCACGGGGCCTGCGTGTCAGCATCAGCAGCACGAGGGCACACGGCGCATCCTCACGCCCCCAGCCTCGCCCCGAGTGACCCTTGTCCCGGCAGGGCCCTTCTAGAAGAGCGTGGACATCTTAGCTTTGTACAGGAAAATGGAAAACGGACTAAGAAATTCCTCTTCTTCTGGGGCTTGGGGAGTGCTGGGGATGCAACCCAGGGCCCCCACAGGCTAGGCCAGGGCCCTACTGCTGGGGTGAACCCCTCGCCCTTTTCATTTTCTTATTTTGAGTCTCACTAAGTTGCCAAGACTGGCCTCAAACTCACAGTCCTCTTGCCTCAGCCTCCCGAGTAGCTGAGAGGCAGTGTGCACGATCATGCCCAGCTCAAGACTAACGCATGACAACGCTTTGGGGAAAGATAACCCACTCGTGTATGCCTGAGCTGAGGGGGCCCGGGCCCCACTCCCTGGGCTCCGAGTCAGCCTATGCGCTCTGCTGCACTGGGTGGAGGAGAGGCGACAGACCCTTCCTGAGCCCACGCAGCGACCACGGGAGGCCCGGCCACTGAGGTGCGAGGACACTCCTGAAAGCCACCTCTGCCAGGGAGGCATGAAGCCCGGCTCTGCCTGGACAGGCACAAGTGCCAGGCCACTCCCTGCCAGCCCTCCCGGCCCGGCTCCCCCTGCCACCGTGAGTTCTCACGGGCCCAGCCGACACCACTCTGCGGCTGCCGCCCACTGTCACCCGCGTGCGCTCACACTCGTCCTGGGGTGCAGCCAGTAGGCGATGCTGGTGTCCAGCGTGACCCAATCCAGGGGTGTGGAGCTGTACTTGTGCTCGGTGTCCTCGCCCCGAAGTGTCAGCATCCTCCACTGCCACAGAGCGGACGGGCTGCAGGTTCAGCCGGGTGCCGGGGCCCTGGGCGCCACCAGCTCCTGCACAGCCCGGCCGGGATGCAGACCCCCAGCCCCGTCAGCTCCATCTGCGTGGACCTGGGAGACCTCGGGGCTCCGCCAGCTGCACGTGGCCCATGACGGAGGCCTTAGGACACCCTAGTGATGGCGCAGAGCCGGGCTCACACAGAACCGCTCCTCCCCACTGTCCTGACCACACAGCCAGAGAGGACAGGGCCGCCCCCCTGCCTGTCACCTGCAGTTCCAAGAACCGGGCCATGAAGCTGAGGTTCCTGCTGACGTCCACATGCGTGGGCGCGTGCAGCTCCAGCTCCCTGTCCCTCTGCTCCTGGCCTGGGAGACACAGCCCGAGCCCCTGTCACACTGGGCCCCATGCACCGGGACGCACAGGCGCTGGGCCCAGGCCGCACTCACTCGTGCCGTAGCGGTGCTCCTCCACGTTCCACGCCATGCTCTCGTGGTGGCCCCGCGACAGCTTCTCGCCCACCACCTCCAGCTGGTGAAAGCCCCAGTCGGGGAGGTGCGCCCCACTCAGCTGGCAGCGCCCAGGAGACAGGGCAGCGTTGGGACGGGGATCCCGCTGGCCTCGCTTCCTCCTCCCTCCGCATGGCTCTGTCCAGCCCGCCCGGGACCCGTGTGCACCTTGAGCACGGCGGACGTGTTCAGGTGCACGAAGCGCACAGCCGACAGGATGGTCTTCCAGGTGTCCCTGTCCGACTGCCTGTTCACGATGTCCTGCGGGGGACAGCAGGCTCGCCAGGCGCCAGGCCCCCACCGCACAGGCCGCAGCGAAGTGGAGGCTGGGGGACAGTCCTTGCGAGACCACTCCCCTCGGGGCTCCTTGATGGGGGGCCAGAAGGGGCCAGACCGGCGAGCCCACGGTGGCCCGCGAGGCCAGCTCGCCCACTTCCCCATTTGATTCCGCGGAGGCAGAAGGTGGCCGGCGGCACCTCCCTCCCTGTGCCAGGGACTTGGCCGAAGCTAACAGGCGGGATGAGGCCCAGAAGGAAGAGGGACGAGGAGGGCAGGATGGCCAGGCGGAAGCAGGCCGAGAGCCATGGCAGCGCGGACAAAGAGACACAGACAAACGTGCAACAGAGGGGTGGGGACGCAGGAGGGCTGCACCTGAGAGAGCCACCTCTGGAGCCTGGTGCTAGGAGTGGTGCCTGTGGCCCAGCTGCCTGGGGAACCTGCCCCGATGGTGGAGCCCTTCCCAGGGAAACCGGGACAGGGACCTGTGACCGCGCGGGCCGGGGCCGCTGCCCTATGCTGAGCGCCTGGCCGTGGGGGCAGGGAGCAAGGTGAGCACCCGAGCTGCTCACCCCGTCTCCCACCGTGTCGGGACCCCGGGAACTCACCAGCCTCCACAGGTTCTGGGCGGGCATGGAGATGTTGTAGTCCACGTAACAGGACACTTCCTGCGCGTGGGGGCTCAGCGGGGCCGCGACGTTGTGCCTGGAGGGCCGAGGCAGGTGCAGCGGCTGGAGGAGCTCTTCCCTGTGCCCGCTTAGGGCAGGGCCCCAAGAGGACAGGGACGGGCATCCGGGCACTCACGTGTTCAGGAGGCGCGTGCTCATGCCGTGGACCAGCTGGACCACGTCCCCATGCCGCACGGGCCTGGGCGGACTGCTCACCTCGAGCTGGTGCCTGTGGCAGGGACGGTGGAGCTTGGTGCCCTAGACTGTGACAGCTCACCCGAGGCGCGGGACCGTCTGTCCCAGCAGAGAGGGTGACCTGTGTTCCCCCACCTGCCCCTGGGGTGGGGGAATTTCTGTAGAGCCAAGGAACTGATGTTTCATTTATTTTTTTATTTTTTTCTAGTTCTGGGGATGAAACCCAGAGCCTGGTGCAGGCTAAGCAAACTCTGTCACGGAGCTTAATCCCCAGCCTTTTTGACTTCTTCCTCTGAGACAGGGTGTCAGGAAGTTGTTAAGATGCCCAGGTTGGACTCAAACTGGACATCCTCCTGCCTCGGCCTCCCAAGTAGTTGGACTTACACGTGTGTGCCACAGTGTCCAGCCCTTTACCATTTTGATGAACTCTCAGGCACCTTCCCAATGGCTGTGCGTGATTCCTTCTGCTGTCATTGCACTTGGCACCAACGCTACAGTGACCGATACCGGAGATGCTGAGAGCCCCTCCTCTGACAGCAGGCCTTGCCCCACCCCTGCAGAAGCCCAGTCAGGGCCTTAGGAGTCCAACAGCCCGACAGTGGCCACCACCCTGCGTGTCACCAAGGTGGTGACAGAAAGGGACAAGAAGCAAGCAAACACTCCAAGTCAGTGACCAGGAGACCACGGACACGGGACGCCTGGAGATGGACAGAGGAGGAGCAATCCAGACTTCCGGAAGAGGAAGAAGGCCTGGCTGGCGGGGGCCTGCTGCAGCAGGGGCCCCTCGTGTGAAGGCTACGGGCAGAACGGCACCCTGATACACGGAGCCCTCAGTGCCGTGGACACCGGGGGGCACAGAACAGGCAGCCTCTGATCCGGAGAGCAGGTGATACAGAGGACTGAGCGCCTGGAGGGAAGGAGGGAAGGAGGGGACGCAGGGCAGGGCAGGGCAGCGCCCTTGTGACAGGTCCTGTTCGGTGAGGTGGGCAGGAAGAGGGGTGTGGAGGGGTTCGGGGTGCCTGCCACTGCCCAGAGGCGGCACAGGCATCACTGAGACCAAGGGACCCGAGGCTTGACCTTGCTCTCACTGGCGCAGCACAGGGACCCCCAACACTGCAGGGCGAGGGACCGTGTGGATGGCACAGCCCAGGCAGAGTCGGGGGACCTCCGGCCGGACCTGCACTCACCTCCCAGGGTCCTTGATGATCCACCAGTTGTTGACGTCCTTGAAGGGGTAGCAGGTCACCTGCTGCTGGTGGGAGCTTCCCCGGCCGTTCTCATAGCTGCGCGGGGAGGGGGACGGGGCTGCATCTGGGGGCGGCTGGCATGGGCCAGAGGCCACCAGTCCCAGTGAGCAAAGGGGACCCCAGTACGGCCAGGCATCAGGGAGAGGGGGACACAACACACACGGGGCCTGAATCTCACAGCAACGGGAGGATTCGGAGGGGCGGCACCTCTCCAGACGGTGCCCGGACAGCCACCCGGAGCCAATGCCACCTGCCCGGGGCACACACAGCCCGACAGCGCAAGGCTCGGGGCCTCCCAAACACAGCCACAGAAAGCCGTAGCCCTGATGCACGCACGGCCAAGGCAGGGAGCTCTCCTTACATCATGGGGTAGGTGTTCTGGTGCGAGTGAAGCCAGCAGGGCAGGGGTTTGCCGAAGACGTTCCTCAGCGTGACCTGCGAGCCGAAGGCCACCTCCAGGGGCTGGCCTTCAGTGATGCGGGCCAGTCCTCCCTGGACAAAGGGCAGAGAAAGCGCCTTGGTCCCAGACTCCCTCGGCAGAGCCAGTCCCCATGTGAGTGGCAGCTCTTTTCGGGGGCAGGGTGTTGAGACGGTGTCACTGCTACGTAGTTCAGTTGGCCTTGAACTCACTACACAGCCCAGGCTGCTCCTCCTGCCTCAGCCTCTTGAGTGCTACAATCGCAGACACACGCCCTTTCACATTACAGAGCCTGACCAGAGCGCTGACGAGGGACCGCTGCCCCTGGCCTGGCACTCGGCTAACTGTCCCTCCCCGCGGCCACCCAGGGGCCCACTGTGCAGGCCAGGGTCCCTCGTCTGCAAGGCTTGAGCCAGGAGTGCTCTGACTCCTGGATGGGCCCCGCAGACCTGAATCATCTCTGATCTGAGAACCCCAAATCCAAAATGCTCCAAAATCCGAGGCAAGATGTGCGGGTTGGGGCGCTCCCTGCATCCGTGCAGAGCGGGAGAGGGAGAGGGAGGCCCATCCTAGAAGGCTCCAGAAATGGCCCGGAATTTGTAGGACCTCATGACGTCCCCAGGCAACTCCGTGACAGCCAAGCAGGCCCTGTGGGGGCTCCCACACAGCCGGGTGTTCAGAGTGCCCGGAGAAAGAGCGTGGCCGCCTCTGCTCCTCACTTCCTTTTCCTGAACACTCTCTCGATGCTGTTACACACGGCTTTGCACCATGGTGTGTGCACTCCAGGGTGACCCCGACACCCCGCTTCTTACCTCCAAGCTGGCCTGGAAGGCGCTCGACATGATTTGGTCATGGGGCCCGGAGCGGCAGAGCAGTGCCAAGTGGACGCGGAAGAACAGTAAGTACAGGGTGACAGGGGTGGCCAGCAGGGCCATCACTCTGGCGAGCAAGTGGCAGAGCACGCAGACCTGTGGGGAGAGGTGAGGACAGGTGGCCTTCCGCCCCTCAGGGAGCACATCCAGCTCGCCAGGCAGCTGACGCTGCCCGGCCGGTGTCTGAGGCCTGGCGGTGGGGTCTCTGCGCCAACACGCCTGGGGGCCGGGCCCGCGACGCTGACGTTGGCACCTACGTTTGACAGAGTCCGATCTCCAATCAGGTGCCACGCGTGGACGGCCGCGATGCCCAGCACAAGCAAGTAGGTGAAGATGCCCATGTATTTGATGCTGAAAGATGGGCGCAGTCAGGCTGGGGGGCTGGAGCTCACATCCGGGGAACCAGCCCGCGATGGGGAGCCACTCACCCCACAGCACAGGCGCAGGCGACCCCCGTCAGCATCAGCCAGAACCACCAGTGCGGAGAGAAAGGGCTGCGACACAGGCAGATGCTCAGCTCACCACTGTCCCACGGGCAGGGTGGGCAGGCCCCACACGGCAGGCACAATAACAAAGAACCCCCCACTCCCAGCACTTTGTCTTTGTTAGGAAACGTTTCTTTGGCCGGTTCAAGTTACAGAAAAATGAGGGTGCTATTTATGAAGTCGTGAGCTAAAGGCCAATGCCCAAAATATAAGGTGACATCCAGCAAGCAAGTGCTCAAAATAACAAGCACCCATCAGAAGCCTCCCAGAATTTTCTCAGAAACTAGGAATGCTATGCTTCGCTTCCCATACCTGTGTTTTTGGGAGTTGAAGAACTTCAGGTACGACAACACAGCCAAGAGATTGAAAAATATTAATGGTGACTCCAGCAACATGAGCCTGGACTGGGTGACCAGGGCGTTCTCTGCCACAAAGATGAGACATGCGTCAGTCTGACGGTGGCATGGGAAATGCACAGAAATGAAAACGGTACCCGTGGGGACCGGTGCCAGCCCCTCAGGGGACTCCGAAGGCCACAGACCCTCACGTTCCTTACTCTAAGAGACCCACACGCACCTTCTGTTCACTCCGTCACCTCCCTGTCAACGTCTAACTCCAGTGCAGACAGGAGCCCTCTGGCTTGGTTAGGGAATTAGGGTGAGGAAAAAGTCCGTACAGATTTGGTGCAGACACACTTTTAATTCTTTGGATCTTTTGACCTAGGGTTGGTTGATCTGCCCTCGGATGTGGCAGCTGCCTGCACTTAACTAAGGCAAACCCCAGCAGCCCACTGTGTCCCGGAACGTGGCCGAGAGAAGTTCAGAAACGGGTGGCTGGCCGAGGACACGCTCCAGAGCCACCAAGGCAGATTCTTAGGTCTGACTCTTGTGTGTGGACACCGGTGTGAACGTGGGCAGTCACTTCACTTTTCTGAGCCCTTACTTTCCTTACTTGCAGAAGTAATATAAGCTTTGGAGAGCTGCTGTCCTTTTTTTTTTTTTTTTTTTCAATTTTTGGAGACAGGTCTCACTTGCAGTGCAGGCTGGTCTTGAACTCATGTTGAGCCACCTACCTCAGCCTCAAGAGTGCCGGCATAGCTGAGGGGTGGTGCACACCTGTACTCCCAGCACTTGGGAGGCTGAGACAGGAGGATGGCTGTGAATTTAAGCCAGCCTGGGCTACACAGCAACACCCTGTCTAAAGTGGGGTGGGGGAGGAGTGCAGGGATTACAGGCTTGAGCCACCATGCCCAACCTAAGTTTTCCTGTGACCAAACCCATCTGTCCATGAACCTGAGCTGAAAGACATCTGCTAACTCCTGACATCCTGGCTGGCCAACGCTGGAACCCCGGAGGGAGGGAACAGGTCAGCCTGGGTGCTGGTGCCCATGCGCCCTGGAGCACTCTGCTACCTGGTACCTGGTCCCTGCCCCTTCTGCGGCTCCACCTCCCCAACGCAGATTCCTGCCCAGTCCCGCGCCTGCCTGGGGCCAAGAGTTCAGCCCGGGTGTGGCGTCCGGCAGAGCCACATCCAGATGCAACGGATGCACCTGCTAGTGCTGTGGGCCTGCTGAACCCCGGAGCTTCCCAGCTGCCCCCGGGAAGGTCCCCAAGGCTGGAACTCTGATCTGCCCTGCAGGGACAGCCACAGGCAGGCCCGGACTTACCAATGAGCAGGAGCAGGGCCGCGCCCATGGCTGTGCAGTGGGAGAACTGCAGCTCTGACACAATCTGGTAGCCCATGGGCACCGACAGGGCCCCGGCCAGCGCCGGCAGCAGGCGCAGGGCCCACACTGGCACATCGCTCGTGTATTCTGGAAAGGCAACCACAGATGCATGCAGGCTTCCAAAACCCGGGCCAGCCTAGTAGCCAAGCATGTGAACCGCGGGGAAAGCTTCCGAACGCACTTTGCATCCCCTACAAGACAAGGTCTTGCTACGTTTTCAGGCTGGCCACTGCCTAGGCCCTGGTGACCCTCCTGCCGCAGCTTCCAGGGTAGCTGGGACTACGGGCGCACATGACTGTGTGCCTGGCTGCTTGGAAACCTGCTTTGCTCAGTCAAGGAGCCGTCACTCATGAAACGGGAAAGATGACTAAGGATTCTAAAATTAATGAATTCTTTATATTTACCCCACCTGTTTCCAAAAACATTGTGGGAACGTACCAAATACATACATGCAAAAGCTTATACAGACACATGCCACGGGATTTGGGTTCCAATAATTATCACAACAGTAAGACCAGCGTTTTCTAAAGTCTTTCACTTGTATCTAAATAATTTACCAAACCCTGCACTCTGATTCATAAACAGCCACTGTGAATGCCCATAAAAACCACTAGGTCTTAAAAAAAAAAAAAAAAAAAAAAAAAAAAAAAAAAAAAAAAAAAAAAAAAAAAAAAAAAAAAAAAAAAAAAAAAAAAAAAAAAAAAAAAAAAAAAAAAAAAAAAAAAAAAAAAAAAAAAAAAAAAAAAAAAAAAACACTACACCTTCATTCTATGTGCACAACAATATGGAAAATTAAAATTATCTTTTACCTGCTCCAATTCTGTTCCACAAAAAGTTACCATCAAATCCTCCTAAATAACCTAAAACAGAAAGTTAATTTGTGGAGTAATCTGACAGACAATCAATATGGAAGAGAGAGCTGTCACCGAGAAGGTTTAAATGTATTTGGGGCCTGAAGGCAACAGCTGCTTCCCTAAGGAAACCTACCTCCCAAGGCCAGTAGCATGTGGCCGAACGGTGGCCCACTGTCGTCCAGAAAGAAGACCCGATTCATGTAAAAGGAGATGTATTGCCCGTAATAGACTTCATCAAAGCTGAAAGAGCCACACAAGTTCGAGTCAACTAGAAATCTGAGTTGTAAACAAAAGGGGTGAGGCTACACTTGTGTTTCCGAATCACCTTAGGTGAGTGACTGTCAGTGGTGAGATCTTTTGCTCCAACTCCATCTTGTCCCCAAATGCTCAGGCACACACGTAGCTGGCTCTGACCTCATATAGGTCCTGCTTCTATTCCTGGTTTTGTGTATGTGTGAGTGGTACCAGGTATTGAGCCAGGCCTTTTTACTAAGTTATATCTTTTTATTTTTGCCCTTTTTAGCTTTTATTTGGAGACAGGGTTTTGCTAACTTGCTAAGTTGCCAAGGCTGTTTAAACGTGTGATCCTCCTGCCTTGGCCTCCCAGAGTGCTGATTTACAGTTATGCAACACCATGCTCAGATATAATATTTTTTGGTGGTGCCAGGGATTGGACACAGGGCCTCACATGTCAAGCAAGTGCCCTACCACTGAGCTACCTGAGCTACACCCCTAGCACTATCTCTCCCTATTTTTTTTTTCTTCTTCTTTTGTACCGAGCATTGAACTCAGGACCTTGTGCTTGCAAGACAGGCACAGCACCACTGAGCTAAATCCCTGGCTCCCCCCTAGTTTTTCGACTTAGGTATGTACCAACTACTGCAGAGCTTCTAGACACCTTACAGGATGATGCTAATACCACCCTGCTGACATAGCAACGCATGACTGTGCTGAGAGGGAATCAGACCTGTGACCCAACAAAACAGCTGCAGGGGGAAGGGAAGATCCGTGAACCAAGTGCCAAAACATTCTTAGGCAAGTGGAGAAGTCTGATTGCGGATACTGCCATCAGTTTCTTAGGCATGGTGGCGCTACTGCGGTTATGTAACTTCTGCTTGCTTTGAAAGATATATACCGAATTATTTATAAATGAAATATAATGTCTAGGATTTGCTTCAACTAGACCAGTGCAGGGAAGGGCTTGGCTTTAAGCCAATGGTCGCAGAAGCCGGATAATGAACACACCCACGCAAGGTCATTTACAGTTCTCTCTTCTTTTGTATGTGTTTGAAGTTTCCCATAGTAAAATGTTAAATAAGAACATATGTATCAGTCAGCAAACAGCCCTTCAGTAATAGCAATATTAGCAATAATTTCCTATCATGATGCAAACCATGCTCTGGGCACTCTAAATAATGAAGACTAATCTATCCAAATCTACCCATTCTCTGCCCTCCGTTTATAAAATTTTTAATTAAATAATTTATTTTTTTGGCCAGAAGGCCTCACTACATAGCCCAGGCTGTCCTCAAACTCCCAGCGATCCTCCTGCCTCAGCCTCCCAAGTGCTGGCATTACAGGCATGCACCACCACGTCTGGCTTGCCTTCTAATTTAAAAATGGAAAAGCCAAGTCTGATAATGAGATTTTCTGCTACTGCATCTCTTTCATGGGTCCAGTTTTTCCTGCTAAAGAACCACAGTGCAAGGCTTAGAAGCTGTGATCAACAGCTGTGGTCCTGGGCACAAACACTTCTCACTCTCACTGCCCCAAACTACAAAACTAAGAAGCCCAGTACTTTCCCACTGACACCGTCTAAAAAGGCCGTTCCTGATACTGATCACAATCCTTCCTGGGCCTCCATAATGGAGTTGTTTGGCTTACACTACAGCCCTCGGGTAGGAGAGACACCACAGCCGGCTCAGGAGCCCCATTCCGGTCAGAGCCACAATATTCAAGTTGATGCTGGCAGTAACCACTACAGGGCGTTTCAAAGACTCCAACATCTTGTCGGAAAGCAAGCTTGGGAGGCCACCCTGGAAAAGGAAAGAGAACCGTCGTCAACCGAAAGAAACCACAGAAAGGATCCCACAGCAGCTTGGCTCCCAGAAGCAGCCAGGGGAACCGCCGCGTGGAAGGTTTGATGAGAAAGTGAGAAAGAAGCTTGTGTGCAGCGAACCTGGGTGAAATTCAGGAATCCTAGGGCTGCGCCGGCGCTCTGACAACATATTTCAACAGCACCTGCCGGCCACCTCCTGGGAGCAAGGCTACTTACTGTCAAGGAAGGATTTGGCCTCTCCTTGCCCTTCCCCTGACCACAAACTACCCGAACTTTGGGCAGCTCCCGGGGATCCCACCCTTCAGGGTCTCAGAGCTTCATCTTCAATACACATCTGTCCTAAGTGCTTCCCTCCCCGTCCCAGAACAGCAAGATTCCTTTTCTCTTATCCTAACTCACTCATTCGTTCATTCTCTTGTACGAGACAGGGTCTTGCTGCGTAGCCCAGGCTGGCCTCGAACTCGCGGCGGTCCTAGGACTCAGCCTCCCGCACCTGGGGTGACAGGTGGGTAGCACCACGCCCGGCTGGGGCTCTTTCTTAACTGGAGAGTGCACCTGCCTCAGGACGCCCCATCTTCTCCCCAGTGCTCGGTCTTTCGTGGAGCTCCGCCTCTTGGAGCTGCATCTGACCTCAGGAGGCCCCTCTGTCCCCAAAGCCCCTGCTCCCCCGAGGCCTCATCAGTCCAGGTCCCTGCCCGGAGCACCTGGACCCCTTCGGTGCTACGCGGGCCCGAGGCTCCTTGCTCTCCCTCCCGAGCCTCTCGGCCCTGGGCGTCCCACACAGGTGGACTCCCGAGTCCGGAGCGGCTCCAGCCCCTGTGCCCACAGACGTACTCGGGTTTCTCCGCCAGGAACCGCTTCGGAGGAGGACCGTTGAGGATAACGCGGCTCGGCGCTCGGCACCGTCTCCTGCTCGACGCTCGACTCGCTGCGCCTGAGAACCGTACGGGCAGTGGTGCGCGTGCGCACTTGAGGAATTACGGGGTTGTGCGCGTGCGCAGTGGACGATCGCGGTGGCGCGCATGAGCGGTGGACAGGGGTCAGCGCGTCAGAAGGCTCTGAAGTGAGAGAGGCGAAGCCCCTGTCCCCAGTGTGTCACCGCGCCGGTGCTCCAAGATTCCAGCGTGTTCCGTGCGCACGCGTGTCATTTTTAAAGCGCACTGGGCTCGACACGTATGTGTCGCTCTTCATTCCGGGGCACTGCTGCCAGCGTCTTGGTGGCCCAGGCAGGTAAGCACGCTCGGGGAGCGGGTGGCCGCGTCCTGTCACGTCGACGACCTGCTTGGGTCCCCGGGCAAACGCACCCTCCCTCCTTTCCGCGGGACAGGAGCGACGCCACCCCGCGGTTGGCTCGCTGTTCATCCCTCACTGGTTCGCTCGGTCTGTGTCCTGATACCCAGGGCATGCTGCTGGCCTGGTGAGTCAGGCTTCTTCACAGTTCTGGGGAGATTCCCTTCTACAAGTTAAGTCAACCCAGTTTTAGAAGACAGCGCTTAAGAATGGAGTGAACGCCGGGAGGGGTGGCGCAGGTCTGTAATCCCAGCCCTCGGGAGGCTGAGGCAGGAGGATCGCTGTGAGTTAGAGACCAGCCTGGGCTACCTAGTGAGTTCCAGGTCAGTCTCAACTACATAGTGAGACCCTGTCTCAAAAAAA